CGCAATGAGATTGTTGATCGCGAACTCTGCCGACGCTGCCCCTTCGGACTATTCTCGGGACTGTAGTGAACTTGAATACTGCATTGTGACGCAAACTGGACCAACAGGATGCCACAATGGACTGGCGACGGTCTATTATTCAAATGTGGTGAGCTCGCGGTTGGACAACAAGTGCTAGGACCGGACCCGTGCAAGTGATACCTTCCCAGTGAAGTTAAACCACGGTGGGTTGAGCACCCTTCAGCACGATTGTCCGGGACAGTGCCAGACAGCTAGCTTACCGTCTTGACCGCTCGGAGCTCCGATCCCGGTGCTGGAACTTGCACCGAGATGATGGAGGTGCATACTTGCGGTTGTCGAGATCTGGTAGGATCCATTGATCACACACGTTCAGTGCCGTTACTACCGAGCCATAGCGTGCGTGCAGTCAGCCCTAGAATCGACAAGTCGTTGCTATGCCAGTGGTCCATCATTGCGACTTACCGAGTCATTCGCGTGTCAACAAAGACAAGTCATCGATCAGCTCGCGCTGCAGCTCTATGGCTTGCAGGTGACGTACCTCGACCTATCTCTAATCGCATGACTGATCGAGATTCAGATGCGAGGAGCAACGCAGTGTCATCGGGCATACGTGTGAGTGCTACGTGTTTTCAGGCTTGGGCATGGCCGTAGAACAGATCTACAGCGCAATCTTACTATATTTCAGTCAGTATCTCGCTCACAATGGCCTGACGGCATGAGTTCGAGCAATACTTATGAGGACTTGCACCAACGGCAATACAACATACCTTGTACCACCAGACGTAGAGTAAACAGGAGGATATATAATGCGAGAGATGGGCTGCGATGATGGGTGCCTAATACAGTGCGATCGGAAGGACGAGCAATTAGATAAGGACTTACAGATAGCAATCACATTTTACGCGCTACACGGAGCTTCTTCTGGTCCAACGTTTAGAAAGAACGTCCTGAACACTAAAAGATGGGCTGCGATGACGGGTCCGTACTACTGCACAACATGAAAGGAAAGAGGAGACGGTTGAGCTCTCACAAATAACAAATGCATTGTGTGCACTATAAGGTAGCTTCTTCGAGCTATCGTCTAGAAGTAACGTCCTGAACGGCGACGGATGGACTGCGATAGCGGGATCATATTAGCGGGGATAAGTAGAAGTGAATACAAACACTTACTGACTATACACACCTTGTGTGCCCGTTAGCTTGAGCGATCCCAAGGTCTCTGTGCGAACGGGTACAGATTATAATGGGCTGCGATGACGAGTCTTGACCCGTCCACAGCTTGGGCATTATTCAATACCCCGGAAGCGACGGATTGATTGCCATTAGCTACACCATACTACCCCTTGTATCAGGCTGTAATAATTTAGTTGTTGTAACATGCATATGTTCTGGGACGTCCTGAACGGCGACGGACGGGCTGCATTGCCGCGCAATGCTTACTGGTTAATCACAACCCACTGCCTGTCCTTGCCAGTGCAAGCCGAGGCTGATATACACTCGGGTCAATACTCGACACCGATTTGTAGACAGAGTCGGAAATCATATCCAGCGATCATGCATGTGTTGGATAGTGCACTCTAGCTCTCGACGGACGCGGACAAGGCTCGATTGCAACGCCGACGCACGACGAGCCCGACGCGTCTTGTGCTCCCTTCGACTCTCGGTGATTTGCACGCTTCCGTACATCCCGACTTTCAGCTTATAGCCAATGCTCATGGTCTGAACAAAGCTGAATTTATCTTTTTACGCGTCTTAACTGCTCCGCGGAACTGGTTCGTGCTGCGCGAGAAGCCTTCGAACAGCAAGTAACATATCTATGTTATTGCTGCTGCAGCATACGATGGCAATGCTGGACACCGACATTCATCCAGAGCCTATTCAGTAGATAGGCGCGTTTGACTGCCTCTGACGACATTCAGAGATCTACAGAACCCATCAACCTCAGTTGTCCGATCTTGCAGTGATGGGACCTGTCCCTGACTTGCCCTGCGCGTCGTTAGCCACGCAGCTCGTCGACGACTGCGCTACGGACGATTCTGAAGGCAGCGCGATGCGGAGGGATGTCGAGGCAAGCGGGGAAGACAACGCGGCTGACGTGGTGCGTGTTCCTGTTCGTACGCTTCGCCTATGGACCTGCCGATTATGTTCCTATGCCACGGAGTGGAGTTACCGTGCGGGCACGAATGCGCGGCCTCTGCTCTCTGTTGACGGAGATAGCGTTGTTTTGCGCCATCTCCACTGACAGCGGGGATGGGGCTGTAAATTCAGTTCTCGGACGGCCCTCGATGCTTGCGCGCGCATTACACATTCCCCGAAGCTTCGCTCCATTCCATGGGCGCAGGAGTGAGTATCCGTACTGTCTGCACTGAATTCCCTGAGGCTCGGCCTACCGTCTCGTATGCTGTGAGTGTCTATTTCGTCACCAATCATAGTCAGCCTACGGCGTCGGTGCATCGGCTGGTCAACACGAAGCAGGACTCGGCAGAGGGGAGCTCTTACCCTTGCCGAGAACTG